TAATGAAAAAACAAGGAAGCTTCCCTAAGCCCTGATTAAAGGCTGGTGTCTTGGGGAAGATGTAGGAGGAACGACTAGGCATGGGGCATTTTCTGTGATTGGTTTGGGGAGAATATTTGGATTTCTCTGCTTTGTCCTAGGTCGGAAGTGGAGGCAAAAGAAATTGGTAGCCATTCAGGAGGCTCTGACTGTTTTGAGGTGGATTCTACAACAAGGAAGCTTCCCTAAGCCCTGATTAAAGGCTGGTGTCTTGGGGAAGATGTAGGAGGAACGACTAGGCATGGGGCATTTTCTGTGATTGGTTTGGGGAGAATATTTGGATTTCTCTGCTTTGTCCTAGGTCGGAAGTGGAGGCAAAAGAAATTGGTAGCCATTCAGGAGGCTCTGACTGTTTTGAGGTGGATTCTACAGAGTTTTCTTTTATAGGTCGGCGTACGATAGTCAGATAGAACCTAGCACTGTTCTTTTGTTTACTCAGTCCATCGCAAGAAATCCAAGTTATTCTATCACGTGGGCTTTAAAGTTCCCTTGGGTCACAGCCCCATAAGATTGCACAGGGTGGAAAAACCTGCTACTGCATGAACGCCTGCACCTTAGGCAATGGCCTCACCGTAGGCTGTGTGGCAGGTGCCGCTCCAAAGAATGGCATCCCCTTTGTTTCTTGGGATGTGATACAAACACAATGAAACAAAATGGACTCTCTTTATTGCAAATATGCTCAGAACCTAAAGTCAAACCAAGAAATACCTAAATCAGAAGAAATACAGGAGAAAGTCATTAAGGCAAGAGAGCGGAAGGTGCTACTCCAACTCATGACATCGATATATACGTCATCTGCTAAGTAGTGCATGACAGAAATGGGTTGTTACTAACTATCGTGTTCCTTTTCTTCTTCTATTCCCATTTCCATGGCCACATAACTTTGATGAGTGCTAATTATTAAAATGGTCACGTTTTAGTCAAGCAACCAAACCTGAGCCCTGCCTTTGATAAAATGCAGTTGGCAGAACTTCCCGATTGCCATTTAAAATGCAGTGGCTGTGAAAGTATCTTCTTGTGTGCATCTGAATAGATTACTTTTGCTCACTAGGAAGACAGGATAGGATTCTTTACTTCATCTCTGGAATTTTTTAACCATAGGGGAATGAACAAATCTAGTGTGGTGGTATTCAAGACCGTGAGGCCACTTAAAACCTTCCCCATGATAACCTCCCCTTTCAATTTGTTGAAATTCACTAAGCCAAACTTACTCTTAAAAGACATTATCCAGAGCCCTAGCTGGTTTGACTCAGTGGATAGAGCGCCGGCCTGTGGACTGAAGAGTCCCAGGTTCAATTCCAGTCAAGGGCATATGCCCTGGTTGTGGGCTTGATTCCCAGTAGGGGGCATGCAGGAGGCAGCCGATTAATGATTCTCTCTCTTCATTGATGTTTCTATCTCTCCGTCTTCCTTCCTCTCTGAAGTATATATATATATTAAAAACATTATCCAGGAAACTGTCCACTTGTAAAGTGGCTTATTACCTATTACCACTTATATTTTTATGGAAAAGAGCCTGTTATGATTAGATGTTCATATGAAGTCATTTATAAAATAACTTACTTTTCTGAACTACTGTAACCTTGCTTTTTTTCTATAGGGTTAAACAGTCAGCCAATTCGTTAAGTAAGTCACTCAACAAGAATTAATTAAACTCTTTGTCCTCTCTTGTAGTTCATGCATTTACTCAGACATATCATACATGTAACTTTACCAATGGCTTTTTTAAAGTTTAGCCTTTCCATTTTAAAATCTGATATTAACTCAACTAATCTTGTTTTTACAGTAAATGAGTACAGCCATGACCAATATATTTAAACTAGAGGCTCAGTGCACGGATTCGTGCACCAGTGGGGTCCCTCAGCCTGGCCTGCAGGGGGTTGGGCCGAAACCAGCAGTCTGACAACCCCCAAGGGGTCCCAGAGTGCGAGAGGGCACTCTGCAAAGTCACTGTAGCTCAGCAGCTTCTGCGTTGAGCGTCTGCCCCCTGGTGGTCAGTGCGCATCATAGCTACTGGCCAGTTGGCCGGTCACTTAGCCTTTTATATATATAGAAGCCTTTTATATAGAGAGATAGGATATGACAAAGACTCTTGGTGCAGTAGATAACCAAGGCACTGACCTAGAGGGATTTCTCCCCACTCCTAAAACTATAATCCACACTCTTCTTTGGATGCCAGAGGATCTTTCCCTCCAATCCGAAGAAGACCTCATGAAATAAGGTATATTAGTTTCCTATGGTCGCTGTGACAAATCCCAATAAACTCGATGGCTTCAAACGACAGGAATTTATTCTCTCACTGCTATGGAGGTCGTAAGTCCAAAATAAGCATCACCTGGGGTGAAAACCAGGCGTTGCACTGTCTGGCGGCTCTAGGGGAGAACGCAATTCTCTTCTCCTATGCTCCTGGTGGCTCCAGGCACTCTGGGACGTGTGGCCACATCATCCCAATCTCTGCCTCTGTTGCCATGGTTTTCTCTCCTTTTCTGTCCGTGTCAAACTTCCCTCCATTTCCTTATAAAAACACTTATGATTGCACTTAGGGCCCACCCAGATAATCTCTCCTGCCGGGATCCTTAATTTGATCACAGTTGCAAAATCTTTGCCATGTAAGTTAACATTTACAGGTTCCAGGAATTAAGACCCAATATCTTTGGGGTCCATTTTTGAGCCTACTGCACAGAGGATAAGTAAAAATCAATTTCTTGGCAAGGTTGATCAAAACTTTGTGTTTAACATACCTTTCAGTTGGCTTGACTAGGACAGCTAGGCACTAAATTCTAAGTGATCTTCCTATACTCTGACTCTTTGCTCATGGGGCCTGCGTACAGCCAACATTTCATGCTTCAGCTCACCTGTTAGTGGAAAGTTTGACAGGCTTTTTTTTTTTTTTTAATTTCAAGACTTCCAAGTCTCTCCCTGGGTAGCCCAGTTGGTTAGAGCATTGTACTGACACACCAAGGTTTTGGGTTTGATCCTGGTCAGGGCACATACAAGAGTCAACCAATGAATGCCTGAATAAATGGAACAACAAGTCGAAGTTTCTCTCAAATCAATAAATTTAAAAAGAAAAAGGACTTCTGCACTGCAGTTTTCATTACACACACACACAC